AAGAATAAATATTAAAAAAAAAAAAAAGAAACCACAATGAGATACCACTAGAATGGCTGTAATAAGACATAAAAGCTAAGGATATGGAGAAATTGGAGTCCTCAAACATTGTTAGTGAAAATGTAAAACAGTGTGGCTGCGGTGGAAAAATGGCAGTTCCTCAAAAGTTAAAATGGAATTACCATATAACCCAGTAATTCTCCCCATGGACATACATTCAAGAGAGATGAAAAACATTCACACAAAAAATGTTAATGTTTACAGCCATGTTATGCAGAACAGCCAAAAAGTGGAAACCCAAATGTCAATCAATGGATAAACAAAGGGTGGTATATAAAAACACGCTACAGCCAAATACAAAACGACACATATCATATCACGCCATATAAAAATATCCAGAATAGGCAAATCCATACAGTAGGAAAGTAGACTAGTGGTTGCCAGGGGCTGGAGACAGGGAGGACTGGGGAATTACTGCTAATGATACAGGTGTCTCTGGTGAGCAACTAGAATGTTCTAAAATTGTAGTGATAAGTGAAAATCATAAAAACCACCAAACTGTACACTTTAAAATGGTGAGGCAAGGTGCAGTGCCACACATTTGTAAACCCAGCTATTTGGGAAGCTGAGGCAGGAGGATGAAAGTTCATGGCATTCAGGCAGCTTAGCAAGACCATGTCACAAAATAAGAAATAAAAAGGGCACCTCTGGGTTCAATCCCCAGTACTGCAAAATAAATAAATAAAATGTTGACTTTTATCATATGCAAATGGTATAAATGAATCTGGTTTTTTAACAATACCACATGGTTTCTGGCTATCCTTTTCATTAAAAGGGCAAAAGAAAATCCTATTGGGCTTCTGTCCTCTATTTCATTTCTGAAAGTTGAGGTCATCAACCTCTGCTTTTCTATCCCATATTTTGGTAAAAAGCCCCCAAATTTTTCTTCGAAATTCTTTCTACACAGCCCTGGAGAAGTCTCCCAAGCAGGCAGCTGAAACTGAGGGCTCTCAGTCTAGACAATACTCATCTCAAGAAGCTCCTCATCTGTACTAACCTAGTATTTGCACTTCAAAATGACACACAGTAGCTGGGTGTCATGTCTCAGCAACTCAGAAGCCTAAAGTAGAAAGATCACAAATTTAAGGCCAGCCCACAGGAACTTAAAGAGACCGGATCAATCTCGAGTACCAAAAGAAAAAAACAAACAACAACAAAAAATTATACACAGTTGCTGAACATAGAGGCATGCACTCAGTCTCAGCTATTCAGAAGGCTGAGGCAGGAGGCTCTCTGGAGCCCAGAAATTGGGAGAGCAGTCTAGACAACACAGACAAGTCTCAAAAACAAAGAACACTCCACAGGTAATTTTACAAGCGCAAATGATATAAACTGTACAATTTTATTTCATATATTTATTTACGTATTTGTTTGTTTTGTGCCACGCGGGGGATGGAATCCAGGGCCTCCACACAACATAAACAAATACTCTGCTACTCAGTTACATCCCGACCTGGCTTAGATATTTTTTTCTATCTACATATATTTCCAGTTTTTTGAACTAGGAAATGAACTCTTCAGAAAAACACAGGACTATGCCCTAAGACTGACCCAGTGCCCTACATACTATTATTAGTGGTGTCCCATGTGGTCCTTTGTTTCCATGATACCCTGCCACAAGTGTGGGACTCACATGCCAGTTCTATGACTTACTAGTTTTGTGACTTGAGGCAAGTCACCTAAACTGAGTGCCTCTGTTTACTCATTCCCAAAATGAGGCTAACAGTGACCTGACCTTTGGTGCTTAGAGAAAGTAAAAAGGCTGGGCATCTGGCACACTCTATGTATGAGCTGACTGGTGTCGCGGCTTTTTCTTCCCACTTGCACTGACTGATTAAGCTCTTTTCGTCGGCTTCCTCGTCTATAAAGACTACATCAAAAGACAGTAAAATCAAAGATTGCAACTCTGGGCCTACAGCAAGCGCTCAAAAAAAAAGTTCCCTTCTTTTCCGACCCGTTTCCAAGGCGGTTTTTCGAGCATCGCCCTCCAGTCCCTTGGCGGCTGGACCGAGATGCCACCGACAGCGCGGAACCGCTCGCTGACACTTCGGCAGCGGCTCACGAGCGGTGCCCCCGGCAGCGCGACGCGCCTCCACGCCGGGAAGCCATGTTCCCAGCCCTGGAGACGGAAAGGTGTGCGGGACGGCGCCGCCACCCCTCCTCCCGCCCGCCCGGCCCGCGGCCGCGGGTCCCAACACAAAGGCCGCGCCGGTGCCCCCTCGTCTCCCCACCCGGCCGGCTGCGGCGCGGGCGTGCGCCGAGGCGAGGCGGTGGTCGCGGGGCCGACGGCCCGGGGCGGGGACCCCCGGGTAGGGAGCGGTCCGGCCTCACCTTGGCCCGCTTGCGCCGGCTGGTCCGTCGTCCCTCGGGGGTCTCCGCTATCCCCGTCTCCATGGGGGTCGCAGACCCAGGCACCACCGTAGGCCCGGCCTGAGGCCCGACGGACCCCGGCGGCTCGGCCAGGCCCCCGGGGGGCGAGGCCCGCGGAGGCTCCTTCTTGCGGGGAGTGCGCTCCCCGGCCGCTCCCGGTCCGACCTCCGCAGGGCCCGACAGGCCCGCGGGCGGCGCGGACACCTCGGAGCCATTCTCGGCGCCGCCCGCTGCCCCGGGGCCGGCCTCCGTCCCAGCCGCCGCCGCCGCCGCCGCCGCCGCCGCCGCGGCCTTCTTCCCGGACAACATCTCAGGCCGCCGGGCCGCCGACGGCCGCCGGAGCCGCTCGGTCTGTCGCTCCGTGGGTCCGGAGCCGCCGCGCCGCGCTGCGCCTCACACTTTCCAAGCGCCTCCAACAGCCGCCGCGTACGCTCGTCCTACGCGCGCTCCCGCCGAGTCGGGACAAAAAGGCCCGGAGCCGCGCCCGAGCCCGGCCCCGCCCCCGCTGCCATAGAGCGGCGGCTTTGCAGCTAGAGCGACGCCATGGACTGGAGCCCGAGGCTGGTCTAGAGCGCCCCCTCAGCCTTGGGAGTTGCATCCAGCCCCGACAGTGCTCTAGGCGTTCCTGGACCAAACTGCACCTCCGAAGGCCACCTTTTCTTTATTCCAGAGACTTGCATCGTTCACTCCTTCCTTCCCCCGCTCTTTCGTCCTTTCAACCAATATTTACTAATGCTCATGAAGTTATTCTTTCAAAGAACTTACAGTCTAGTGGGGGGAAGGCACATGTAAGTGTAACTGGTTGAACTTGTGAAGGGCACACGAGTCTCGGTGGTAATAAGACGGAGGGGAGTTAGGAAATCCAGGGTGGAGTCCACGTGGAATTGCTCCTCGTCCCCAAGCCTTTGCTCGTGTTCTCCCCGGTCTCCGGACCCCGCCCCACTCCTGCCGCGCTCTCGCCCGCACTCCACGTCCCCCGCCCGCGCGCCCTGCCACCTCCTGCTCTACGCCCCAGTCGGGTCTTCCCGACGACGCTGAGTCCGGGGGTGGTGGCGGAGTTTTCATTTAATTATTCAAGGAATCCCTTGCTGATCCAACGGAACAGTTCTTGTGTTCTTCGAGCTTCTTTCCAGTTGTTACACAGATAGAAGCTTGTTTGTCTGCCCAAGGTCCTGGGGATTGAACCCAAGGGCACGCTTCCACGGAGCATCCTCATCCCCCCCCCCTTTGTTTTAAATATTTATTTATTTATTTTTGTGGAGACAGGGTCTCATTGATTACCCACGTTAGCCTCGAACTTCTGATCCTCCTGCCTCTCAGCCTCCCAAGTAAGTGGGATTTCGGCATGCCGCACCATACCCGGCTATAAATCTGCCTTTTTAAGTCACCTATCTCTTCAAAGACTAGTTTTCAAACAAAACTATGCCATTTACATAAAATTAAAAAAAAAAAAAAATGGTTTAAAAAAAAAAAAAAAAACTCATCTCTAGGAATAAAATCCAGTCAGTGGTCACCTGAAATAAGAGTAGGGGTTGACAGCCAAAGACCAGGAGGAGATTATCAAAGCCAGGAATGGAAATGACTTAGGCTTGAATGGAGTGAGTTTTCAGCAAAACTCAATGAACTAGGCATGCAAAATAGGTGTATTTGTTTACTGTAAACTGTACTTAATGAAGTTAAATTAAAAACAAACAACTAAGTAAACAGGAAGGGGGGAAAAAAGAGACAACTAATCCAGGAAGAAAAAGAAAGCTATGCAAAAAAGAAAATGTAATCACAGCACAACATATTGATGTGGCATAATGAACATAGACAATGAATATTGTTTTACTAAAGTGATAGAATTATACTGAGAGCATGGAGAAAAAAGATTGGAGGGGGGAGAGAGAAGAGAGGGGCTGAGGGCAGGGTCAGAGGAGGCGCCAAGTGAGAGCTAAATCCACAAGGTCCATCCCAGAATAAATGGTAGTCGAGAAATCAAGAAATAACAGTATAAGCATAATGTTTAGGAATATAAAGGTAAATGCCAGGGAAACAACTGGAAGATTGAGAACTGGTTACCTGTGAGACATGGAACTTGAGGTGGCAGGCTGTTGAAACTTGTCTTAAACCCTGTGGGTCGACCTGACTGGTTTGCACATTTAACAATCTGATAAAGCTTGAGATTTGATTTGGGGATTGAACCCAGGGACACTTAACCACTGAGACACATCTCCACCCCTTTTTTATATTTTATTTAGAGACAGAGTCTCACTGAGTTGCTTAGGAGCTCACCAAGTTACTGAAGCTGGCTCTGAACTCACCATCCTCCTGCCTCAGCCTCCTGAGCCACTGGGATTCCAGGTGTGCATCACCTGGCGGTTGTGAGGAAGTCATGAGACATGCTTGAAAACTGCCTGTCAAAGAGTCTGGCACACAGTGAGTGCTTAAGACATAGGTGTAGTTAACATTGTTATGCAGCAGCTGGGTGGGGGGAAGGGACTAATTATGACTCAGGAGTGAGTGGCTGTGCCTCCTGTCATGGAGGGGACTGAGGCAGGGTCCTAAGGCCCGTGTTCTTCCATGCCACAATGTTGGGGGAACTGATGCTTGTTTTTAGGAATTTCCTTGCCATACTTGCTTCCTCGGGCACCCTGGGAGCATTGGTGGCTTGGTTGATAAGCTATAAGCCAGTTTTGTTTGGGTTCCTATTCCTTCTACTATTGCTTAGCAACTGGCTGGTCAAGTATGAACTCAAGCCCACCTCCTCAGAGAACTGTCAGGTGAGCAAGATGGGATTTAGCATCAGCTGAGGGTTATAGGATATTCTGCTGGATTGGGGAGTGGAGGGCCGGACAGTGAAAGGATGATGGGGGAAGACTGAGGAATTTAAAACTGGTCTGAGTCCCTGCCCTGGAGATACCTCTTAGTGATGGTGGACAAAACATGTCCCTCACAAGGCCTCAGTGGTCTTAACTGTAAAATAGTGACCTGTATATGCTCCTACTTCATGTTTGAAGTCCACATGCTTCAACCATGGTATGGGCTACTCTAAGTGGAATGATTTCAAATGGCTAGAGATACAAGTGCCAACATAGGTACAACTCTAGAGAACAGTCACAAAGACAGAAGAAATGAACCTAGTGTAGACTATGCCATTGTGTCTGTATAATATATACCTGAAATGATCGATTTATAAAGAGAAGAGTTTATTTTGTCTCAGGCTCCATGATCAGGCAACCCATCACTTTTAGGCCTCTGTTTGGGGGTGTGGTAGAGGATATCCCCCCATGACTTGAAAACCTCTCTCGGACCCACCTTTTAAAGGTTCCACCATCTCCTAATAACTGGGAACTAACTCTGCTATGCAAATCTTTGGGACACATTTCAGGTCCAAACTATAGCAGATATCTTTTATATAGTATCAGAAAAGGTGGTGCATACAGGTAATCCCAGTGACTCTGGAGGCTAAGATAGGAAGATCACAAGTTCAACACCAGCTTCAGCAACTTAGTGAAACCCTATCTCAAAATTAAACAAAAGGGCTGAGGATGTGGCTCAGTGGTAAAGCACCCCTGGGTTAAATTCCCAGAACAACAACAAAATCAAAACAATATCCTACATTGTCTATAGATGTATATGTGTAATGAAAGTATTCTAAGGGAGGAGGTCCCGACCTTGACACTGGTGACATCCCGGTAGCATAATTTGTTGTCCAGTTGTCTTGTGCATTAGAAAGTTTAGCAGTACCCTGGATTCTACCCAAAAGACTCCAGCATCACACCCCCACCCTGTTTGTGACAACCAAAATTATCTTCAGATATTGTCACATGTCATTGGGGAGAGGCAAAATAGCCTCTGATTTAAAAATGTATGGGAAAAAGTAAATACTAAATTCAGGATTACAGATGGGTCCAGTGGCACACACCGGTAAACCCAGCAACTCGGGAAGCTAAGGCACAAGAGTTGCAAGTTCAAGGCCAGCCTCAGCAATTTAAGGAGACCATGTGTCAAAATAAAAAATGGAAAGGGCTCAGATGTAGCTCACCAGTAGAACACTCTTAGGTTCAATCCCAAGTACTGCAGAGAAAACACGCTCAGGATCACAACTGAGGAGACGATATTTAAGGGTGGGGTGGGGAGAATATTCTAGAAGGGGCCCATAGGAGATTTTAATTCTATTTGTGATATTGTCCTTCTTAAACTGGTGTGGGAACACAGATATTTGTTATGATAATTACTTTTTTGCACACCTGAAATTGTATTAAAAGGTTTTAAATACCAGTAGTTTGTAGTTGAATCCAAAAATAAGGATCAGGTGATATTATTAGCTGAGGGGAAGAGGACAGCAAAACTGAATGAGCGTTATTGAGATCAGAGCATGTTGGCAGGGCTGGGACTGGGGCTGGGGCTGGGGCTCAGTGGTGGAGCGCTTGCCTAGAATGGGTGAGGCCCTGGATTCGATCCTTCAGCACCATGTGAATATAAAAATAAATAAAACCAAACTAAAATAAAGAATTTCATCCAATGGGGCTGGGGTTGAGGCTCAGTGGTAGAGCACTTGCCTAGCATGTGTGAGGCACTGGGTTCGATTCTCAGCACCTCATATAAATAAATAAAATAAAGGTCCATCAACAACAACAACAAATTTAAAAAAAAGAATTTCACCCAAGAAGTTTGGGGTGGGGGGAAGCATTCTATGAGAGCACTGAGACTTGGCAGTTGAAGGATCCATGAGCCCTGACAAAATGCTCCGAGAGGCACACTGGAAAAACAAACTCTGGGGACAGATGTATTGGGTTAAGGACTTTATGTCTTCTGCAATTGGCAGATCATTCCTATGAACCAAAGGCAACCAAAGGTCTTGGAAGTTTGGGGTCCATGTGGCTCAAGAAAGTGAACTTCCCTTGCTGGGTCCCCACTGTCACTCACAGAAGATGGCAAAACTGCTTCCTTTTGAAGCAGGTGAGAGAATTGGTTAAGATGAGGGCATGGAGCAAGAAGGGATGAGCATGAATAACCATTTTTTTCCCTTTTCCTGGTGGTGGGGAGCTTAGGAGGAGGCCATAAATTCAAAGACTCCGGAAGCCCACCCCAACAACAATAACCTGAACACAAAACAAGTGGAGAGGCTGCAGGCCTGCTTTGCGCTCCAGGACAAGATCCTTGAACGGCTTTTGTTCAGTGAACTAAAGCTGAAGGTCTTGGAAAATCAGATGTTCATCATATGGAATAAATTGAATCACCCTAAGCGATCAAGCAGACATCGAAATTTCCCCACGAAGAAAGACAAAACGAGGAGGCATGAGTCCACGTTTTCCATCCTCTCTGATTGTACTTCCAATTCCCCCACCTAATGAGACTGAGGTGGGCTAGCTTCTGCTGATGTTACCTTGACTCACTGTATTAGTCTGTTTTTTGTTGCTATGACAAAAATGCTGGTGACTGGGTACTTTATAAAGAAAAGAGGTTTATTTAGCTCGCAGTTCTGGAGATCCAAGAGTATAGTGCTTATATCAGCTTTTCCTAGGGCCTCATGGCAGATGGCGTCACATGGCAAGTGAGAAAAAAGACAGATCCCATGGTGAGAAAGTAAGTACAGGAGAGCACTGAGAAAGCTGAATTTGCTTTATAACAAATCTCTCTTGAGATAACTGTTCTAGTCCCCCAAGATCTAATCCACTCCCAGAGAGAGGCGTTAATTCCTCCGAGAGCAGTGCCCCCAGTGACCTACTCGCCTCGCATGAGGCCCAGGTCATGGAAACTTGGAGTCCAGAGGAACTGAGAAAGTGACTTTCCCCCTTTGGGTCCCAATTCCCTTGGGGGCTCCACCACCTCCCAATACCATTGCACAGGGGACCAAGCCCCCAGAACATGGGAACAAATGACATCCAAACCCCAGCACTCAGTAGAGCCCAGGAGGTCACTGAAAGTTCTCAGTGAGTCACACTGGAGAGGCACCTGGGGGAAAGAGGAGGACAGACTGAAAGGCCATCTCTGGAGGGTAAACCTCTATGCAGCCAGCCTGCCGGGTGGCTAATGGTGCAGCCTGAAGGCCTCTGGGGCTTCTGAGTCCTCCTAGTCAGGCCCCTTCTACCCCACCCAGGTCCTGTTCCCCCCGGGGTCTCCCCACTGCTGCCTGAGCCCCCACCTGCACTCAAGCCAGAGGAGCCCTGCCAAGCACGACTCTGACCGTGCTCCCTGCCTATGCCCGGGTCTTGCTGCTGTGGTCGACAGAATGAAACCCACACTGATTCCCCTGGTGTTCACGTCCCCCCGACCTGACCCCTACCCAGCCCTTCTTCGCCTCCATTACTCCTCTGCACACCCCAATCTGCTCTTGGTGGTGTATATCTGTAATCCCAGCAACTCTGGAGTCTGAGGCTAGAGGATTGCAAATTCAAGGCCAGTAGCAGCAATTTAATGAGGCCCTAAGCAAAAGAAAAAATAAAAAGAGGGGCTGGGGTTGTGGCTCAGTGGTAGAGCACTTGCCTGGCACGTGTGAGGCACTGGGTTTGATTCTCAGCACCACATATAGATAAAAAAATAAGGTATTGTATCCATCAACAACCAAAAAAAAAAAAAAATCAAAAAAAGAACTGGGGGTTTATCTCTGTGGTAAATCACTCCTGGGTTCAATTCCTAGGACCACAAAACAAAGAAAGTATGTCTAAATATTCTAAACATCGGTTATTTCTGTACCATTTTTGTGATTTTGCCATAGCTGTGCACCTCCTGAATGTGTAACCCAACCTTGTCCCTGCCTTTTTTCTCCTTACCTGGGATTCAACGCAGGACTTTGTACATGTTAAGTAACTGCTCTATCTCCAACCTACATCTCCAGCCTTAGTATTGTCCCTTTAAATCAGCTATTTCTTTCTTCCATAAATTTATCCATAAGGGAAAAAATAAGTGGCAATTTCTCTGTGAATAAAAAAAAAGTGAGATTCACTTAAATAACACACAACTGTAAAAATAAAGACATTAAAAATAAAACCATGTTTGATCTAACCAGAGCCTAGAATTTGGGGGTTAGAAAGTGAGAAAACCAAGTGTCAAGAGTTTGAGAGACAGACTAGCACCAAGCTGAGGCTTCTCCATTAGGAGAATTGGGAAGGAAGTCACCATCGTACTGTGATTCAGTGTGGCCTAATGCCACATTGCTGTCCCACTAAAAATCACCCCCCTCCTAGCATCTAACCCAGTGGTTAGTATACAGTCAGTGCTCAATAAATAACAACTCTGAATGTGGATCTCAGGTTTATGTGTTCTGGCCTTTTCTCTGCCATGCTCTTGTATCATATTTTAAGGGCCAGATCTCTGGGGCTAAACTGCCTGGGATTGAATCCCACCTCTACAATTGGGAATGGTGCAGCAACTCAGGAAGCCGAGGCAGGGGGATCGCTTGAGTCCACAAATTCAAAACCACCCTGGACAGCACGGTAAGCAGAGAGCAGAAAGGGGTGCATGAGATGAGAACCACAGAACAGGAATGAGGCACCAAAAGAAGGTTTATCAGGGGGCGCTCCTGGGCGAGGTTCACCCATCAGCAAAAGGGTGAGGGCCGGGGAAGTCGCAGGTGGGAGGGGCCAAGAACAATGCTAATTAGGGAAGCTGGAGGTGGGAGGGCCTAGGACATCTAAATTGCAGCTACTGACAGCAGGTTGGCCAAGCCCGAGTTTAGGGGTTGGTGTCTGTCACTGGGTTGGTCAGAGCTGAAGTGAGATGACAGGGCTATTGCTTCAGTAGCAACCATGGTGGTTGGTGGTCCCGGTGCCATTTCAGCTTCTGATTGGCCATTTAGGTCCCGCCCCCAGCTGCCATGAAAAGGGAGGGGGAAGGGAAGCCTGCCAACCTAACAGTAAGACCCTGTCTTAAAAAGAAAAAAACTGTCCCAACTCTCAGTTGTGTGAGCCTACACAACTTTACATCATTTATTCTTACTGCCCTCTGCCACCTCGACTATGTAATTGGGAGAGTAAGATCACAGATCTTATAGAATTGTTGTTAGGATGAGAGGGTGTATGAGTCTGTTTTTGCAGCTATAACAAAATACAAAGTTTATAAAGCAGCTGGTTTCCTTCTATTTACACTGTCTCCTTATCATACAGTTGCTTGGCTATACTCTTGGCTTTTTCTCCTTTTTTAATATTTACTTTTTAGTTATAAGCAGACATAATATATTTTATTTTTATGTGGTGCTGAGGATCGAGCCCCGTGCCTCATGCATGCTAGGCGAGCGCTCTACCTCTGAGCCGTAACCCCAGCCCCAGCTTTTTCTCCTTCATACACATTGTCTTTACTTTGCCAAGCTAAGACATTTTCAAATAGTTATGGTCTGCTTCCTTTTTAATTATAAATCATCCTCTTCTTTAAATCATTTTTCTTGTCTCCCATTTTGCCATAAGGGATTAAGAGAAACTTTGCCACACATCCTGAGCCCTTTACAGTTTAAAGATACCATTTGCCAAACATCCTAAAGTCCCAGGACACAGACACAATTCAGCCAAGTTCTTTCCCACTTTATAACAAGGATGGCCTATCCTCTGGGTTCCAATACCCGGCTCCTCATTTCTGATTGGGACCTAATCAGAATCAGCATGACTGTCACAACATGTAAGTCATCTCTGAGAAGAAAGGGGCTTCCCATGGCTCCTTTTCTGCACCCTCTCCAGAACTGCCCTCGATGCTCTATTCACGGCAGCTCAGGCTTTTACAGTGGGGCCTTCCTTTGGCCCAGCCTCTATCCATCTCTCATTCCAAAGCTGCTTCTGCTTTTTGAAGGGTTTGTATGTGACGTCCTCCTGTACTACCAAATTCTGTCTTAGTCTGTTTGTGCTACTATAAGAAAATGCCTGAGACTAGATGACTCATAAAGAACAGAAACTTATTACTTAGAGTTCTGGAGGCTAGGAAGTCCAGGATCAAAGTAGTGGCACATTTGGTGCCTGGTGAGGATCTGCTCTCTGCTTCCAAGATGGTACCTTGACCTCCACACTCTCCAGAGGGAGGGAATGCTGTGTCCTCACAAGACAGAAGGTGGAAGGGAAAAAAGAGGAAAGAAGAAACAAACTGCCTTGGTCAAGCCTTTAAAAAAAAAAGAAAAGAAAAGAATACTACCTTTATTTTATTTATTTATTTTTATGTGGTGCTAAGGATCGAACCAACCCAGAGCCTCGCATGTGCTAGACCACTGAGCCACAATCCCAGCCCTGTCAAGCCTTTTGATAATGGCATTAATCCATCATGAGACAGGAGTCCTCTTGACCTAAACACCTCCCATAAGGCCACGCCTCCCAATATTGTCACATGGAAGGTCAAGTTTCTACCAGATTTTAGGAGACACATTCAGACTAGCAGATGAGCCACTGCACCCCTCCAGGTCTTGGCTCAGATGACCCCTCCTACTTAAAATGGCACCCTCCCTTGTGTGTCAGAGATCCTGACTTGCGCCTCAGGTCCCCTCTCTAGCCCTTTCCTGACTTTTCTCCAGGAACACTGTATGGGAATGGTTGACATCATTGGGTCCCCTTGCCCCATGGCTTCCAGCTGGCTTTGGCCAATGGGGGTCTCTGGAAGAAGGCAGGAGGAAGGAGCAGGTTGGGGTGTTTGCCTCCCCAGCTCCCTCCTGAAGGCCCGCGGCAGCTGGTGTGGGCTAGCTGTGCCCCAGGGAGCTCTCTCTATCACTCTTTCCTTCCAGGTCCCCTTTGGGCCTGGGCTGGTGGCATCTCCACAGGTTTCTTGCTCAGGGGTTCTGCACCATCCTTGGGGGTCCCCCATAGCCCACTCGATCTTTGTAAATAGTCGATTTTGTGCAAGTTTCAACCCGCCATTGCTAATGGTCTTGCTGAGTGGAACGGGACCATCAGGAGAACAGCCATGTATGTCCCCCCCCCCCCCCATGGCGGAAACAGAACAATTTGACCATGAACTTGATCTGTATGTGACATGTGAGGCAAAATAAGGCACTGATCTTGCAGAGAGCATCTGGAATATTAATAGTAATAAAGTTAATCAAGATGTTGTGACGGTCACATCCTTTTGGGGCCCTAGACTCAGGTCTGGGCCTGCCACAATAGCAAAACCCCATGGAGGTCTGAGGTGGCCTGGGGGCCTGTCTTAGCCTGTTATGAATGAGGCCCGTGGTGTCATATTACTTACCAGCAGCACTGTTCGGTGGCCCCAGGCAGTTGAGGCCCCATACCCTGTGGCTCTGAGCAGTCCACAGTCAGTGGTGGCTGTGAGGATTCTGCCTGCCAAGGACATGATTTCGGCATCTGGGTGGCTGATCTCTTCCACCAGGGGGACAGCTCCCAGACTCTAAAGGCTCCCAGGATCCTCTTTGTCCTGGGCTGGG